GTTCAACACTTTATGCTGTCCCTTCTTCAACGCACCTCTCTCTCTCCCCACTATCTTTCTCTACTTTATCTCTCTCTCGCTCTCTCGCCTTTGCTCTCACAGACGAATCGCTCTTTATCTCCACCCACCCCCACCCCTCATCTCTCTCGTGCGCGCGCTGCACGTCGCTTCCTCTATCACTCTCTTCGATTGTAATAACTGGCGGCACATGCGCGCAGGCCGGCAGAGAGAGAGCGTGCGTGTAGTCAGTCGTCTGTGCGTCGTACGACCAGCGTGTTCACGATAGCATCATTCCAGGCAAGCATCGCCGCGTAGACAGTAGCATCATCATCAGTAGCAGCAGTAGTAGTGGTGACCGCACAGCAGCAACAATAGCAGCAGCAACAGCAGCAGCAGCAACAGCAACAGTAGCAACAACAGCAGCACCAGCAGTAGTAGTGGTGACAGCGCAGTAGCAGTAACAGCAGCAGCAGCAGCAGCAACAACAACAACAACAACAGCAGCAGCAGTAGTAGTGTCCGCAACAACAACAACAGCAGCAGCACCATCAGCAGCGCCATCAGCAGCAGCAGCGTCAGCAGCACCAGCAGCATCAGCAGCAGCAGCAGCAGCAGCGGCGGCGGCGGCGGCGGCGTGCACCTATGCAGGACATGGAGCAGCTGCAGCCAGCCTTACCTGACGTGTTCGAGGTGCGAAATCCCGTGCAGTCCGTGGGCTACGTGTAGTTTTAGTCGCTCTTCGATGTTGTGTGAAATCTGTCCGTTGAAACGGTGAAGGTATTCGAGCGATGTGTTAGGTTTGTTCGGTAGATGTTAGATGTTAAATGTTAGGTTTGTTTGTTGGTTGTTGTTGGTTGTTAGATGTCGTGTGAAATCTGTCGGTTGGAACGGTGAAGGTATTCGTGTGCCTCTGTGGGATGCGTTGGGTTTGTTTAATTATAGTAATTCCTACGATGTGTTAGAATGGGTTTGTTATTCTCCTGTTGTGTTATAGGTTTAAGGTAGTGTTTTATGTTTTTGTGTTGTGTTGTGTTGTGTTGTAGGCATGTCGAACATGTTCTGGCATTCCTACGCTGTGTGGAATGTGCTTCATTCGCGTAGTTGTTGTTTTTGTTACATGAGATGTGTTGGTATTTTGTTTACATCAGTTTGGTTATTTTTTTGCTGTGTATGACAGAGTGGTGTGGAAGGCTTATTAGGGTTAATAACCGGCCACGTAAGACGTGTTGCATAGTTTATTCGTGTTTTTTTCAGTTGTGCGGAATTTTACTGCACCGGCTGTTCGTCTGTTTTTATTATATAATCGCCGTGCTAAGATTTGTAACAACTAATTGTTCGTGTTCTGTGCGGTTATAAAATCCTACATTTTCTTTTGTTTTGTGCAGTGTGGTTACCGTCATAGTATAGTATAGTCATGGTATTGTAGCCGTACTAGGCTCTATGACTGTTTCACGTCGTAGGAACGCTTCTCGCCACGTAGTGAGAAACGAGATAGTAACTTGTGGCTACCGACATAGGTTGTTAAGTTGAGTAAACCGACGCTATCACGGTATGAGCTGGAGACTGTTCCGGCGATGCGGTTCGATTCGCCACAAGTTACCTTCTCGCTTCTCAGTGCGTGGCGAGAAGCTGACAACGACGTGAAACAGTCGTGAGAAAGAGAAGTAGTGAAAGAGTCTGCGTGAAACTCCTTCGACGTGAAACAGTCTAGGAGCGGATGCAGTTTGATATTCGAAATCTCCCTCTCGTCAAATTCCAGCGGGGAGTCCACGCATGCACGAGCGGGCAATTTCTAGCTGTGTGCGCCTGTTGCTCTGTCTGAAAGAAGAGACAGCGGTGTCCTCTGATGCTGCCGCTTGCCACCTTTATCTGGCTTCATCCGCGTCTGTAGACAGATTCGGATTTGTCTGTGTTCGTATCCGGATTCAGTGTAAGATAGTGTAGATGATTTAGTGTAAGAGAGAGAGAGTAACGGATTCAGTGTAAGATAGTGTAGATGATTTAGTGTAAGAGAGAGAGAGAGAGAGTAACGGATTCAGTGTAAGATAGTGTAGATGATTTAGTGTAAGAGAGTATACAATAATCAGTGTGAGAGAGCGATAGATTAAAGTATTCCGTGATAGAGAGAGAGAGAGAAAGTAAAGTATTCAGAGATAGTGTAGATGATTTCAGTGTAAGATAGTGTAGATGATTCAGTGTAAGATAGTGTAGATGATCGTTATGAGTAGAGAAGTAAACGGATTCAGTGTAAGATAGTGTAGATGATTCAGTGTAAGCTATGTGTAGATGATTCAGTTGTAAAGATAGTGTAGACTGATTTAGTGTAAAGAGAGAGAGAGAGAGAAGAGTAACCGATTCAGTGTAAGTATAGTGTAGATGATTTAGTGGTAAGAGAGAGACGAGAGAGTAACGATTCAAGTGTAAGATAGGTGTATGATGATTTTAGTGTAGAGAGTATAACATATAATCAGTGTGGAGAGAGCGAAGATTAAAGTACGTGATAGAGAGAGAGAGAGAAAGTAGAAGTATTCAGAGATGAGAGAGAGAGAGATATATATATATATAGTATAATATATATTATATATATATATATAATATACCTTATAGCGAGAGAGAGAGAAGAGAGAGAGAGAGAGAGAGCGAGAGCAAAAGGAAAGAGGGGCGAGAGAGAGAGAGAGCAAGGAATTTATGAGAGAGAGAGAGAGTAAATGATTTAGTGTGAAGAGTGTAATATAACAGATCGAAGAGTAGATAAACGTGAGACTTTTGCAGTAAATACATTCGTGTTTAATTTAACTAAGCGCTATATTTGAAACGGCACAAGTACGCCGGACTGTGCCAAGATGTGGTCGTGTGCCAACGTTGAACGCTGCCCATATACATTCACAAGCTGTAAACTTGGCAGAAGAATTATTGGGGGTGGTAAGCATAAGAAACATATAGCCAAGAGTTAATAATAACATATTAGCTCTTGATATTATTATTATTATTATATATTAATTATTATTATTATTATTTATTGATTATTATTTATTTATTACTTATTATGGTATTATTATTATTATTGTGTTATTATTAATTATTATTGAATTATTATTATTGATTATTGATCATGATATATTATTAGGCTCTGATATAGCGAGCGCTCGGCACACAATAGAAGGGATGTGAACCCCGCGATCTCGCTTGTCCAATGTTCGATAGATAGTTGACACCAGGCGTACATGGACACCCTCCCGGCGATTCTCTGCTACGCCTGGCGGGCTTGCGAAAGCGCAGATCGGATAGATGTCCACCTCAATAACGCCAGCGCTACAGCATCCGAGGGTGTGTGTATGGTGTGTCCTGATGGCGGAGCCACCCTTCTATTAAAAGCCTTCCGCGTAGATGACTGAGTAAAATGGTTAGACCGTACACTCGGGTAAGTGGTTTGTAATGAAGCGCTAGCTTGCTGGCGGACGCTGCGGCAACAGTGGCTACGTTCTAATCAAGCGTGGAGGGATATGGCTAAGCAATGTGCAAACGGCTAACGCCGTCCGAAATATAATTGACGTTTATAAAAGTCGTCTGGCTGCGATGCTGCTATCCACCCCTAACACTTCGTGAGCACGTAGTGTGGTGTGTGTGTGTGTGTGTGTGTGTGTGTGTGTGGTGTGTGTGTTGCGTGCGTAGCGTGCCGTGCGTGCTGTGCGTAATGTGTGTGTGGTGTGTGTGTAGTGTATGGTGTGTGTGTGTGGGTGGTGTGTGTGTGTGTGTGTGTGTGTGGTGTAATGTATGTTGTGTGTGTAGTGTGTGTGTGTGTCGTGTGTGGTCTTGTGACGTTGAAGGTTTGGCTTGTATTGCAAGTAGAATACTATACTCTACTGTACGCTCGCATATGTGTACCTGGCGTACTAGCGGAGGATTTTATATGGGACTCACGGGATAGAAGAGAAAGTAGACAGTCTATTTTTGAAACGCCTCTCTTTCTCATTCTCTCCTCTCATTCTCTCTCACAACACACACAGATCACACACCACAGCCACACAACCAGAGGCAGCACAACACACACACACACATAACCACCTCTCGCTTTCTCTCTCTCTCTTCCTGCTCGTCTCTCTCTCGTCTCTCTCTCTTCTCTCTCTCTCGCTCTCTCTCGCTGTCCTCTCTCTTCCTCTCTTGCCGGACGGTCGTTCTTTCTCTCCTGTTCCGTTCACCCTCACGCGCATTCTGTTCTCGCCTCGCTCGGGGTTGCACCTGTGTAGGCTGCGGGTGGGGCCCCGGCGGCGGCGGGACGCGCGTTGCGGGAGCCGCGGGAGGGCGGGGGCGTCGGAGGGGCGGGGGGCGGCGCTGGGGGCGGGGTGGGGTCGCGGAGGCGCGCGGTGGGCTGCTCGTGGCGGGTCTCGTCGGTCGGGCGGGTTTCCTTTCTTCGTAGTCGGGGGCTGCGGCTCGGTCGGGGGGGGGGGTGGGGGGGGGGCGGGGCGGGGGGGGTCGTCGGGGGTCGTCGTGCGCGTCTCGTCGTCGGTCTCGTATTGACTGGCTCGCGGTCGGACGGTGCGGGGGGGGGCGGTGCGGTCGGGCGGGCGGGGGCGGCTTCTCTGGTCGGAGGGGTGGCCGGGGCGCGCGGTGCGGGGGGGGGGGACGGTGGGTCCTCTCTGGGGGTGCGGTCGTCGGTCTCGTCTCGATCTTCCGCTCTCGTCTCTCTCCTCTTTCTTATTGCTTTCTCAGGGTGTGCTCGGGCCCGGGAGGCCTGCCGGTGCGCTCTAGCGGTGGTGGCTCCGGTGCTGTGTGTGGCGTCGAGCAATTGCGTTCCGGCGGCGGTGGGTGGCGTATCTCGGGGTGGCGTTGGGGTGCGGGGCGTGGGCCTCCAGGTTCCTCGTCCGCTCAGGGGTGCGGGGTGTCACCTTCGCTCTCTCTGCGTTGCTCCTCACGCTCCTCGCTCTCGCTGCTCTTCTCCCCCTCGCTCCTGCTCAGTCCTCCTCCGCGGTCTCTCTCGCTGTGATCATATGGGGCGGGAGCGAGGGTCTCCTTCTCTCTTCTGCTCTCTCTCATTCGCGCTCATTCTCTCTCTCTCCGTTCTTTTATTCTTTCTCCCTTCTCCCTCGACGTCTGCTCTTTCCCTCTCTCTCCCGCTGCTCTAATTCTCCGCTCCTCTTTTCGTATGGTCTTTCTCCCGGTCTCCATTCTCTTCTCCTCGCCGTCCTCTCTCCCTCACTTTCTCTCTCGTTACTACTCAACATCTCACTCTCCCTCTCGACTTCTCTGCCGCCTCTTCCCCCTGCTTCCCTCTCCCCCGTCCCCCCTCTCCACCCTCCTTCTCGCTCTCTCTCCCTTCTCTCGCTGCTCTCCCCTCTCCCCTCTCTCCGCTCTCTCCGTCTCCCCCTCTCCCGCCCTTCCCCCTCTCCGATCTCCGCCCTCTTCCCCACTCTGCCCCTCTGCCCCTCTCTCCCTCCTCCCCTCTCTTCCTTTCCTGTCTCTTCCCACCTCCTGCTCCTGGCCCCTCTCTCTAATCTCGGCAGGTGCGTACGCAGGGAATGTGAGCCGCTCACGACGACAACAATCGAGCTCGCCGCTCGTAACCTCAGTCAGAGAGAAAGCCGCACGTAAGGTCACTCTCTCTCTACGTTTGTCTCGCTGCGCTCCACTTTCCACTGGGAATACAGCGAGTAGTATAGCGAGAGAGTACGCGAGCAATAGCGCGAATAGAAGAGAAGAGAGAGTAACGGCGAGTCTCAGATGTTCGTGTCATTGTCGGTAAATGTAGCCGGGAGGTGGCTAATGACCGGGTAGTGTGTGATAGTGTGTGCTGCTGCACGCCTTGACTTGCGTGCTCATGCAGCGCGGTGAGGCTAAAACCGTCGCCAACGCGTTTAACTGTACGGCGCGCCTGTATGTTCGGGCGGAAGGGGTAAGAGGTGTGGTTGTGTGGTGTGTGTGTTGTTGTGTAGGTGTTTGTGTGTGTGTGTATGTGTGTGTGTGTGTGTGTGTGTGTGTGTGTGTGTGTGTGTGTGTGTATGTGTATGTGTGTGGTAGTATGTATGTGTGTGAGAAGAAAGAGAGAGGGGGATAATGTTTTAGAGCTTTTTTGTTTTGCCGACCGTACGTGTTGAGCGCGTTGTTTCGATCAGCCGCTAACAGAGAATTCGCGACGCCTAATTAATTATTGCTGATGCTTCAAGTATTTAGTACTACTTACTACTGGCTATTGCTGCAGCTGCTGCTGCTGCTGTTGCTGCTGCCTGGCTGCTGCTGCTACTGCTACTGCTAAGCCTACTACTACTGCTATTGCTTGCTGCTGTCGACACTAGCTGCCTGCTGCTGCTCGCTGCTGCTGCTGCCTGGTGGTGGTGGTCGGTGGGCTGTGTTGTTGTTGTCTGTGTTGCTTGTGCGCCGCTGCGCTGCTGGCTGCGTGGCTGCCTGCTGCACTGCTGGATGCTACTGCGCTGCTGCAGCTGAACTCGCCTGCGTCGCGTGAACAATTTCGTTTATGGCGGGTTTTACTCGGAAAGCAGTACATACATCTGTAATACTATTGCGCAATCGAGGCGTGATAATCACGCCCACCATATCACACTGCAGGGCAGGGCAGCAGCAGCAGCAGCCAGCAGCACAACAACAACAACAGTAGTAACAGCAGCAGACAGCCACAAGCGAGGAGTAGTAAGTAGCAGCGCAGGCAGCGCAGCAGCAGCCAGTAGTACAGCCAGCAAATAGTAGTAGCACCCAGCAGCAGCAGCCAAGAACAGCCAGCAGCAGCGCAGCCAGCAGTAGTAGTGGTAGCGAGACAGCAGCAGCGCAGCAGGCAAGCAGCCGTGGGCGACAGCCAATGACCTTGATCTCGAACTCAGTTCTTGCTGCCGTCTGTCTTCCACGAGAACAGACGCGCCCTCGTTTCTCACGGCATCGTTAGTTTTTGTGTCTTCATTATCTTCTTCATCATTTGATCCCAGGCTCTTCGCGAGGCCTCGTGTTATTCACGTATACGAGCCGCGAGAGAGGAGAGAGATAGATAGAGACGAAGGAGAGAGGAGAGGAGAGAGAGAGAGAGAGATAGATAGATAGATAGAGAAGGAGAAGAGAGAGATGAGAGAGAGAGAGAAGGAGAGCGAAGAGAGAGAGAGAGAGAGAGAGAGAGAGAGAGAGACAGAGATAGATAGATAAGATAGATAGAGAGAGAGGAGAGCGCGCGCGAGAGAGAGAGAGCAAGAGAGAGCAGAGAGAGAAAGAAAGAGAGAAGAGAGAACGCAACAGCAGAGAGAGCACAGACAGAGAGAGCAGAGAGACGGCCACAGAGAGAAGAGAGACAGACAGAGAAGAGAGCACGAGAGAAGAGAAGAAAGAGAGAGCAGAGAGAAGAGAGAGATCGGAGAGAGATAGAGAGGAGAGAGAGAGAGAGAGGAGAGAGAGAGAAGAGAGAGAGAGAGAGAGAGAGAGATAGAGAGAGACTCTTAAGCGCCGCGATTCTCTGACTCCACACTCACGATATAATACACCAGTATCACTGAGTTGTAGCACGGGAAACATGACGTTTCTAATAGAAGCGCCGTACAATGATAGGCGCAGCTTCGCGACACTTGATGCTGCATGCTGTCCCCCAGCCTGTCGTTAGATAACCGGCAGACTTGTTGACACGAAGTATAGACGTAGAGAATCTCACTGTCTAGCATATAGCGGCGTATTTGAAAGCGATTGCGAACGAAGCTCTAGTGTATATAATACTGTGTATACTATAAGTGTAACTATATATATATATATAATATATATATATATATATATATATGACGTGTATAGGCCGTGTATCTTGGTTAATTAATGTTAGCTTACATAATAGTTTCCACTCGTGTCATCGCCCCGCTAACAAACAAATAAATTCACTGAATTAAGTAGATTGAAATTCCACACTACGGAATGCTTGTGTTCTTTCTGGCCAGTCGCCTCTCACCATTATGTTGGTCTATAATTGGTTGTTGTTGTTGTTTTTGTTGTTGTCGTTGTTGTTGTTGTTGCTGTTGTTGCTTTGTCGTCGTTGCTGTCATCGTCATCGTTGTTGCTGCTGGTGTCGGTGTTGTTGTTAGTGTCGCTGATTGTGTTTTTGTTCTAGTTTTTGTTTTTCTCGCTGTTAGTATTGTTGTTGTTCATGTTGTTGTTTTTGTCTTCGTCGTTGTCGTTGGTATTGTTGTTGTTGTTTTATTTGTGTTGTTGTCGTCGTCGTCGTCGTCGTTGTTGTTGTTGTTATTGTTGTTGTTTTGTTGTTGTAGTCGTCGTCGTCGATCTTGTACGTTTTCTAGTTCAACACCTAACTCTTTATTTCTGTTCGCAGGTTCGATATGGCATGGTTACTGTTAGCGATGGCAAGGGTAAACCACAGCCGACCAGACTACAGCTGGCAGGTAGTGGCTTTACACTACAGAAGGAGGAGCTGGTCTACGCCATCCCGACAGACATGTCCGATCCGGCACCCGTCGATGGATCAAAGGTACGAACGAACTTTCTCTCCTAGTATGTACATACATATTTCTATCTGGTTAGCTTTTCGTTCAGCCTCAGGTCTATGGCCTATGTTTTTGGCCACAGCTAGTGTGGTAAAGTGAAAGGCTGCACGGGTGGAGATAGATAGGACCATGTGCTAGCGGTATCGTTGATGGGTCAAATGTAGTAGCTTTCTCTCCTAGTATGTACGGACCTATTTCTACCCAGTTCCGACTCGACCGTGTCCATTTCGCCCTGCCTGAGGCCTGTGGCCACAGCCAGTCTGGTGGAGTGAAGGGCTGCACGGGTAGAGCTAAAGGCGGGACCGTATCCTAGCGGTAAATGCATAGTTAATAGCAATAATTATAAGTTAATTATAAAGTAATAGCATGTTAATTAGCAGCCCGGGTAATTAGTCATAATAGCTACGGCGGTGATGCGGGATGAGATACCACTTGTCTTAACTAAACGCCATTGACTCATTTCGCTGTATTCTCTTCCGCAGTATTCTGAAATAGCCATTCCACTTTGCCAGATTATAAAGTGATACGAAATAAACAATTCTTGCCAATGATCTCTATATTCTCTCTATGTTATACACCCCTGGTGTTATCTGCAGGAAATGCTCGGCATGCATGATGGGTAATGCTATCCCCCGGGCGTGGAGGGAGGTGACCGCAACGTGGCAGCACTAGTGTTAGGATAGTGTTAGGATTAGGGTAATGCTATCCCCCGGGCGTGGAGGGAGGTCCACGCCCGGGGGATAGCAACACCCATGTATGATGGACACTCTTGTTTTAAGTTGTGCTCTCATCTTCTGTTTTGCTTTCTCGTTCCCACGGTTTACCCCCCCCCCCTCTTACTTCTCCACCCAGTATAATGCGTGGGAATATATAAAAGCGATTTAAATCACAGACGCAAAACACGATAACACAAAAACTATACAAAGTGAAAACAGCTGATACGAATCGCTTCGTTTATTCTTAATTACTATCCTCCTGTGTGTGTATATTTACTTACCTCCTCTCTCTTAATGACAAACTATGTGCGCATGTATTTAGCTATACTCAGAGTCTCAGACCAACGGCGCGTCCACTCCCAACTTCCCATACAGAATATGTTGAGCAAGTTTAAGATGGGCTTGTCGCGATACAGCGACAATCGGGGCGTGTGCGTGTTCTTGGCCAATATCAGCCATATCGAAATACATTCAGTACATATGCCGAGTGCTGATCGTATACGCAAAAAAATAACCGGAGCGACACCCAACCGTGCAAAATCCACCCGGGAATGCATCATGTTTATGTAGCTGGTGCTCATCACTTTCAAAAACTTCAGAAATCAAACTGGGATTGGTCGATCTTCTGTGTTCGTTCTACGGACCGTTTTATACATTGTACCAATAGCGTATTAAGTATGTTACCATACTTAGTATTAAGTATGTTGTCATGTTTAGTATGTACCATACGCTCTTGATTGTACGTATTTTGGATGGATCTCAACTGTCTGCTATTGCCTTCTTACTTGTGAACTATCATCTGCGCACTTGGAAGCTGGCATCTACTAACTTGTCAATTGTCACAAACTAACTTGTCAACTGCCACCTACGTACTTGTCAACTGCCACCTACTAACTTGGCTACTGTTACCTACGTACTTGTCAACTGTCACCTACAAACTTGTCAACTGTCACCTACTAACTTGTCAACTGTCACCTACGTACTTGTCAACTGTCACCTACAAACTTGTCAACTGTCACCTACTAACTTGTCAACTGTCACCTACGTACTTGTCAACTGTCACCTACAAACTTGTCAACTGTCACCTACTAACTTGTCAACTGTCACCTACGTACTTGTCAACTGTCACCTACAAACTTGTCAACTGTCACCTACTAACTTGTCAACCTGCTCTCGTCTCTCATCTCTCTCTCTCTCTCTCTCG